AGGGGTCCCTCCTAAAGTGCTTAGATACTGAACCTTCTGAATGCCCCAAGGAGCGCCCCGAAGTCAAAAACGGAGAACCCCTTTGAACAGCCCTAAGAACGACCAAGAATCCAAGCCCAAAACGTAAATTCGACGCTCGAGCCCTAAACCCTGAAGCTTCGCTGAAAGCCTAAAAACACACGCAAACCCAACACCGTAAAGTAGCCTTAACGCTAAGTTCAAAAATCGCACGCCAAGCACACAAGCATAAAATCCTTACTCCTAGACCCTAGATATAGTGGCAGTTGTAATGTCAGTGGTCTTTTCCATTCCTTCACCTCCTACCAGCCACCCTCTCTCTCCCCATAAAACCCCTAACACCGGAACCGGAACCCCTGAATAATAAATCCATAAACCCCAAACCCTAAACCCTGTGCAACTTGACATGTCACCTTAACGACTCGCCTTCTTCTTGGGATCAAACCCCCCAAATCCGTGAACAGCGTCGACGTCATAGCCGGCCGGCTGCCTGGTTTCGCTCCCATGCACACGCGAACCAGCTCCACCACCTCTTAAGGGCTTAGGGTGTATAGTCCCCCTTAAGTAGATAGAATATGGCTTTGGGTATATTATAATAAGATCCCCATATACCCCATATTCTATCTACTTAAGGGGCAGGATAGGTTTAGGGTTCATATTTTGAATGTATTCAAAAACTATTAGCACTGCGTTACAACCCAATCAGGAATATCAAGTTAAACTGCCCAATCGTGCCGGAATAAGGAGGCTGTTTACGGGCTTGGGGTTGGCCAGGTTGCTGTTACGAAGCAAAATGGGTGCATCGTAAATTTGAGGGCTTCCTGGCTATGGAAACTTAATCATACTTAATCTATCTAAGCTGCTTAAGAGCAACCCGGAAAAGGGGCAAGTCAGCGTTGGAGTTGACGTTCTGGCGTTCAAGGGGTTATCGTGCAGCCTTTACGCTCGCGGAGTGCAATGACTAGGGCTAAGGATTTAGAGGTTAGGGTTCGAGCTTTAGCGACAAGGAGCTTAGGGGTGGGCGGCACCACCTGTCATGCGAGTTCGGCGACGTGTGCTTGGACGCGTTTCCCTAAACTTGCTGGTGGCCAGGGGGAGTAAGGGAGTGAATATAGGTACCATTGTTAGTGTATGTTAGGGTATACATGGGATTATATAGGGATTATTACGGGGATCCACTCCCCCACTTTCCCTGAAGCACCAGAAAGTAAAGCTTCAGCTGTAAAAGATGTGCAAAGCTTGAGAACGTCTGTGGACCAGTATGGGAGCTGTGCATCTTGAGGGCCCCGGAAAAGCATGTCATCACCATGACTGCCCGTCTTGGCTCTGAATTGCATGTGCGGCTTGGCGATCCTACAGCAAACCTTTTTGAGACTAGACCGTTAACCCTTGAGCCTAAACCCTAAACCCTAAATCCTAAATCCTAAACCCTAAGAAGGTTCGGCCTTGAGGACCCAGCTTGTCAACTATGGCTGGATTACAAAGGACCAGCAATCCTGCTTTGGCGTTGTGTTCAATCACCACATCCGCTCTCTCAATGCCTCGTTATTGCATTCAAGGCTTAGGGTTTCCCAGAGCCTCCCATGTAGTTCCTTCATGGCTTGTGTACTACAATCTCTTTCCAAAAACCTCCAAAACCATCCAAAACCATAATGAAGGTAAAAGGGAAACTACGGCGAAACACGGATCGGGGTAAAGGGATTGGTGATGCACGGGCCCCCCCACCCCCTCGACCGTAATTGCATCCAGCGTGGGCGTATTGAAGCCCTGAAATGCATACGAGTTGCTCATGCCCCTCAGGGTACCGCCGCTTGGTCGTACTTTTCAAGACACCAAACCAAGATCTTCAATGAATAGGTATGCCTAGAAATAATGATGGGAACATAGAATGGTCCCAACGTGCCACCTAGACTGGGATCCTTTCTCAGCCACATCTGCAGGACTCTTCCAAAAAAGTCCCTAGTGTTCCCACAGTTCAGGGATTAGGATGGCTGCCTACGTTTTGTGCGTAGATTATCTCCACGCTCAGAAACCCCGGATGCCTCCGTGTCCATCTCTGAAGGAAATCGGGGAAGCTGACCTCGACTCTAAGATGCCAAAGTATCAGTATAGCCCTTGTTCTTCTTGGTAATGCTCTCAACATTAAAAAATGATTAGTATGATTTTTGTTCATGCCCTACTATTGTCATTGCGATCATTGTCATCATGTTGACTACTCCTGTCCTTTCTTAGCGTTGCCTTCTTCATTCATAGTACCAGGGCAGAGTCTTGGGGGGCAAGCTCTGCATCACCGAAAAAAGCCTCAAGCCTTGATTTACGGGAATATAACAGAAGAGTTTAGGGTTTAGGGTTATCCCAGCTCAAGGTATTTCAGGGTTTACGGAGCTATCTACAATTGCATAAGGCTTAAAGAGGACGCATAGGATTCTAAATCTGGGAGGTACTACTGTTGGGGACGCTGCTGTAACCCCTTACGAGTGGAAGGTTAGGGGAACCACGAATTCGAAGCCAAGGCGCCGACGGTGCTTCTCTTTGAAGACAAAGTGTCTTAATATTTTTACGGAGGCAGTTAGTGTGGCGACTGCAGCCACTGATGAAGTTGCAGCTTCAGGGGCAATTTTAGAAAAAGAGAAATGGCATCTCCCATTGCGCAAAGCCAACAAAAGCGAAAGCAGCGGCAACCAGAAGGCGTGACATTTTCAGGTATGGCGGCCATTGCAATCACGGCCAAAAATCCTGAAAGGTACTATGATGTGCACGCTTATGGGCGCCTCATGTGTGATTCATGAGGTATGTATCGGAGAAGCCAGATAAAATGAGCACCACCTCAAACAAAGCGCATGTTCAGAACTGTCTGAAAGCTATCAAGAAATAAATGGCCATACGATGCGAATGCATGGCAAGGGACCGATTAGAGCCACGACCCCACATGTTTACTACTTTGCTACTTTGCTACAACAAGTCTTAATCTTAACATCAAAATTGTTATTCTCATCACCACCACGACCACCGCGAGCACCACCACCACCGCGGCCGCCGCCGCCGGTGCTGCTGCTGCAACCACCGCTGCCACTGCTACTACAGCTACTCCTACTTTGCTAGTTATTAGCCGTCTTTCATTCAACTCGAAGAAGCGAAAGGCCCTAACCCTGTATACACCCTCAGCCCCAAGCCCCGACACCGTAAATCCTACACCATGAGCCCTCAACCCTAAACCCCAAACCCTAAACCCCTGGCAATTTTGCAGCCGTGACACCTTTGGCTTTGACCCGGGGGAGCTGCATCTGCGTCACATCCTCAGCTTCACAAGGTGAAGAACAGGGTTTAGGGTTTAGGGTTTAGGGTTAGGCTGGTTTAGGGTTTAGGGTTTAGGGGGTGAAGAACAGGGTTTAGGGTTTAGGAATAGTGTTCAGGGCTTAAGGCGAAGGCGCACGGCAATTTTAAGCTTCATACAACTGTACTTGTGACGCGATGATCTGCTCCCTGTCCGCCACTCAGGCGAAAAAAACTACTGTACTACAACGATTTTGGGCTTGGAGAGAGAGAGGGAGAGAGAGAGAGAGAGAGAGAGAGCGTGTTACCCTAAATGTCCAAGGCGGGGTGAAGCAGTAAAGGGCTATGGGGTTTTGGTGGTTCAGGGACCTGGTGTGTTGAAAAGGGCTGAAAGCATCAGAGTCTGGGATAAGGCTTGAGGGTTTAGGCTTCAGGGGCCTTGCTTTGGCCCACCTTCTCCGTCGTGCGACTGAAAGCATGTTGGTAACGAGCCCATGGCTGCTGGGCACAAACATCCCAAACTCGATTTGGGGTTTAGGGCTCACGCCTTCAAAATTAGAAGTAGGACCTTAATGCCTAAACCTAAGCTGTAAACCCTAGGCCCTACACCCTAAAACCTAGACCCTAAACCCTAGATAGTAGGTTCCATTTCATTTTCCATTATCTCAATATAACCCTAGGCTAGTGTGGTCCCCACCTTGGCAGACTTGAAGACGGATTCTTCCTATTATATTGGGTGCAGTCCACCTTAAGCAGATAGAAAATGG